ACGGAGTCTGCTCACCAACCGTGAGATCATGACCTGAGCAGAAATAGAAATCAAGACTCAGAGGCTTAACTGACTGAGACACACAGGTGCCCCTATGTTCCTTTTAAAAGCGGTTTTCAAAAACCAAATTTAGTAACCAAGGATTAAAAGTTACCATTAACACCAAGACAAAGAAAGATTCATTTCTCAATTGTTACCATGTTTCAGTATTAACCTCATCTTTATAATGTAACAAATGTCACCACCTCAAGTTTTAGCTACAGGATAAACAGGTAAGATTTGCTTCTCAGAATCTAGAACAGGTTGGGAGAATCATTTTCACTATTTTATGGGCTCACAGGTAGGCAGTTGCTTTCAAAGAGGGATATTTGATAATGAAATAATTTGTCATTATTTCAAATATTTTTAAATTGTAGCATGTGGAGTGCCATAAATACATGTAGGAGATATGTTGAAATATTATAATTAATAAATAAGAGCTGAACAAATTAGAAGTGGTATTATAATTTGGATACCACATCACTGTTCCCTCTTAGGCATAAATGACTCAAAACTCTATACATTGTTTTCTGTCCTAAACAGGATGAAGCTGGCTTTGAGCATACTACCAAGGACCTGTCTAGACAACCAGAATAAGTTGTGCATTAACAGGCTGAGTATAATTTGTTTGCAAATGTGCCAGGTAAGAAAAAGCTAAACTGGGGCACCTGGGTGGCTCAATAGGTTAAGTGTCCGACTCTTGATTTTGGCTCAGGTCACGATCTCATGGTTTCATGAGTTCAAGCACCGCATTGGGCTCCGTGCAGGCAGCATGGAGCCTGCCTGGGGTTCTCTTTCTCCCTTTCTCTCTCTGCCCCTTCCCCACTTACACTGTCTCTGTCTCTCTCAAAATAAATAAATAAAACTTAAAAAAGAAAGAAAGAAAAAGCTAAAATTCACTTCTGCCCTCTACTGGATTAAAGAAGTTTTAATATGTTGCCACTTGTTAGCATATACACTAAAACATTCCTGCCAGTAATAAAATGGTCTTTCCTCCCCAGTGTGGCTTATGCACCAGTTAAAATGCTGCCCCTCCTTTCAGGAGACATAAAACTATTTGTCTAAATTCTGTTTTCAGGCGTTAGGTTAATTTTGGACACTTAACTCCTTTAAAGGGCAGAGAGAACTTTAGCAGCAG